CTTCCGGAAGTTTAAAGATGTATGCAGACAGATTTTGATATCAAATGTCACAAATGAACTATAAAACCTGTCTGGTTTTCACAACATATTGTGCTGGTGGGTACCATGATGACAACTGTCAAAAAGTAATGCTAGTCCTGCCACTGACGATTATTCCGATAATAAATTAATTAATTGGACGATTTTTTTTAGATATTAAAATTGGGAATGAATGACATACATTTTTGAGATTGGGAATTAAATCCACTTGCAATATGAAACAGCGATATAAATGTGATTTAAAGGATTTTCGCAAATATTTTAAAAGCAAATTTATCTAATTATTAACCCCTATGGGTTGCTGGGGATTTTTTTCAGCCACTGTGATTTTGAGACTAAATATGGCCACATCTTTTTCTCTGTTTCAGAAAATTAATTTTATTTTTATTACATACATTTTATTACATACACTCTGGGCAAATTTACCACCCTTTAAAGTTGTTTGTGGCTAAATTAAACTAATGTAGAAATGTATTTTCTTTTTATTTTCAATGTTTCCATAAATCTCTTTATGTTGATCATTATAATGGAAGTCATTGGTGCAAAAAACCCCACCAACAATAAATAAGGGAGAAATAAATGTAAATCTCCAGTCACAGGTTTTTCTTTCATTGTGTTCACTTTGTTCATGTGATGAACATGTGATGTGTTTTCATAAAATCAAAAATACCATGATCAAACACAAAGTGACCACAACTGTAACCATCGCCCATGTGTTGTGTTCAGGTTCAGCTGGTTGGTCTGGAGGAAGAGAGTTCCGAGTTTGTCTGCAGGAACACGTTTGATCATCCCTATCCCACCACTAAGATAATGTGGATCCCTGACACAAAAGGAGTCTATCCAGACCTGCTGGCCACCAGTGGAGACTACCTACGCATCTGGAGGGTATGCTCTGTCACACTAATACAATGCGAATTAATATTTGCGTAGTATTTGAGTCTGTTTCTATAAAATCTGTTGTGTTGAAATGTCTAATGCATCTAGAACACATGTATATCTATGCAGGTGAATGACACAGAGACTCGTCTGGAGTGTCTCCTGAATAACAATAAGAACTCTGACTTCTGTGCTCCTCTCACCTCCTTTGACTGGAACGAAGTGGACCCCAATCTTCTGGGTAAGTAACGCAACAGACTTACATTGTGATAAAGGCTGTGCAAGTATGTTGAGACACATGAAATGCAGAATAAAATCTCTAACATTAGTTTGTGTAGTTACACAAAGACCTATTGTCTATGAATGGTAACGTTAGATTATATTATTTATTTATTAATTATTTTTCGGGCATTTTGCTTATTGTAACTTTTCAAAAATTCAAAACAGATTCCAATATCATACATGCTTCAGTATTCCAAAATGGGTATTGGGCCATTTTAAGTAACCTATAAAAAAGGTTTTATTAGTTTTGTAAACAAAAGATGGCTTTTTTTTTCGTGTTACAAACCATCTTGTTATTTATTTAACATCACTGAGTCTTTAGCAAAGAATTAGCAAAAACATGTTAAATATCCACATGGTGCACATGATTATAGAACCAAAATTCAGCAAATTCTGTTATTTAACAAATATGTGATTTTTTCCCCCACTAAACTACTGAAATTTCTGAATTTGAGTGGCAGGATAGTAGTTTTTAAAAGACACTCCATCACAGAATGTGTACATGGATTTACATATCAAGGAAGTGTTCACGTGTGCATTTCCTGTTTTCAGGTACATCTAGCATTGACACCACCTGCACCATCTGGGGTTTAGAGACGGGACAGGTCCTGGGGAGAGTCAACCTGGTGTCTGGACATGTCAAAACCCAACTCATTGCTCATGACAAGGAGGTAAATCAAAACAATTCTCCATTTCCTCGTTACTCTGCAGTAGTGTCATTTCTCCGCCTGAATCTTGCATTGTGATTGGCTGCCAGGTGTATGACATCGCATTTAGCCGTGCTGGAGGTGGGCGGGACATGTTTGCATCAGTGGGTGCAGATGGGTCGGTACGCATGTTTGATCTCCGACACCTGGAGCACAGCACTATCATCTATGAAGACCCCCAGCATCACCCACTGCTGCGTCTCTGCTGGAACAAACAGGACCCTAACTACCTGGCAACCATGGCCATGGATGGCATGGAGGTGCCTCTTTTTTTTTTAAATACGGCTACATTTTCCATTTGTGTTATTTACTAATATGGCTGTATGATGTTGGCAGGTGGTGATTCTTGATGTACGTGTGCCGTGTACGCCAGTAGCTCGACTCAATAATCACCGTGCCTGTGTGAACGGCATCGCATGGGCACCACACTCTTCTTGTCACATATGCACAGCAGGTTAGAAACCAGCCCTGCCACACACACACACACACACACACACACACACACACACACACGTTCATGTGCACGGACACAAATATATGCTTCACAATGTAGACGGTAAAGCCCTTCACTCTTTAAATGCATATTTTCAGGTTTGGCTCGCCACCAGCCGAATGCGATCTGTTCCTTTCGATGGCAGTTAATGCTTCTCTCAGTGTCCACATAAAAAATGCACACTATGTCTATTAAAGGGCAATGTTTCTACCTTTATTGCACGTCTACAAAATGAATTTTTTTTATAGAGGACTATGTCCACAAATAAACAGCGTATTGGGCTCTCAAACTTGCACCATGCTGGTTGATGCACTTTGAAGAAGTTATGGCGCGACTATGCCTATCTCTGATTGGCTGTTTGGTTCTGTCAGTCATCAGTCACAGAGGAACGTGATTTGATGATGCACAAAACTTCTCTCATGGACGATGGAAAGTCGGTGTAAAAACTATTCGTGCAGAAACAGCTTGTATCTGCAGGATCAGACAAACCACAAAACAAAAATTACAAAAAAAATTCACAAAACCTGATTTACATTATAATACAGTGGAACCCCGATATATGAACTTAATGCGTTCCAGGGTGACCTTCGGATCTCGAACATTTTGTATCTTGATGCAAGTTTTACATGTAAAACGCCTTAGCTGTGCAACGGCTCTCAGAAACAACAGTTTAAGTTGATGAAAAAATGGAAAACCAGAAGCAAAAACAAGTAACGTTTCTTCAATCCTTAAATCTACACATTGTTAATGTAATAAATGTTACTAAAACAGAATAAAACACAAGTAAAATATGTAATATGTACACAAATGTGAAACTTTACCTTGAGTGAAGTGACGTGTCGTAGGAGGTGGAATGGATGGCAGAAAACATTACGGCACAACGTATAAAAAGTTATTCCATGTATGAAAGAGATATTTCATGAATCACAAACACGGTTTCAAGCACGAGCGCAGACAGATAGAGAGCGCGTCACAGTGTTTCTCTAACTTGCGCTACAGAACAGCACTTTCCACGTTATAAACGTTATTATTTTTACGACAACTTGACTCATTTTTTACAGGACATTATTAGTAATCTATAAATAACGTTTCGCTGTGTTGCTTTGAAGCACATCAGACCCTTTTTGCACTGGTAGATAGGAGCACAAGAACCCGGAAGCGCAGCATGACGTCATACAAACAAGCGGAAAATAGAGCAGAAATGGTTGTAATTGTTCGTATCTCGAAGCAAAAAAATTTTGTGCTTTACCTTTTGGTATCTTAAAATTTCGTAACTCGAAGCTTTCGTATCTCGGGGTACGACTGTATAACATTTAATCACTTAATTCACTCCATACATCTTGCTTTAACATTTCTGAATCTACAAAATTTTCTGAACATCATTCGTTTTATCGGTGCATTTCGTGGAGTTTTAACCCTTAAACGAAGATGAAAGATTTCGAATCCGGATCATCATCATTATTGTAAAACAGTATTTGGAAATCAGTCTTCTTTACCTAGCACCCCTTGTCTTTTAAATCCCACTGTAGCGGACGATCACCAGGCTCTGATCTGGGACATCCAGCAGATGCCACGGGCCATTGAGGACCCCATCCTGGCCTACACAGCTGAGGGAGAGATCAACAATGTCCAGTGGGCATCTACGCAGCCAGACTGGATTGCAATCTGCTACAACAACTGCCTGGAGATCCTGCGTGTCTAAAGATTGCGCGAAAGAGACTTGTTTTCTACAGTTCCAGAGCTCAAGGCTTTATTAGGAAAGCATATTTAATAGGCCCATGGGAACTTCAGTCTAAACAATGTGTTTGTTTTATCTGGACAAATGAAGCAGTACGACCCGAGAGTCTTTGTGTCTGTACAATATATTATAATGGTTTGTTTTCCCAGTGTCCCAGAGTTCTCATAATGCATCTTGTATGCTACTGTAAATATTATGATTGTATGGCTGTTCACGTAGGGAAACACTTTAAAAACTTGGATTATACAGAATAAAGTTTGCCAACGCTGACTCTGAAAGTTACTCTTTTTTTTTTTTTTTAATAGATTATTTTGTGGCTCTTCTCTCTGAAATACTGAGGTTTCATCTTTCAGGAAGGTGCCTTTATTTTATTTTTTCAGAGTCTTTGATACTGAAAAGCAAATGAACTGAATCATTCACAAAACCACATTTCTTCTCATACGTGTTCAGAACTATATGTTTTTGTAAAGGTTTTTTCGGCATGCAAATGCTAGAAGTGAGATGTGTACTGTATTAATATACAATATTTTGTTCATGGTAGAATATTGTTGCTTTGCTAGAAAATAAATTCAGCATTGTGAGGCTGTTTGTGCATTACATGTTTCTGCTGTAAACATGAAATGTTTATTTGCAACATTTCCTGGGATTCTCATATATTTGTAAGTAGTTCTCTGTGTGTCCAGCTTTCATGCTTTTTCTATTAATAAATGCATCTTATAAAGTCAAATAAAAAGAATAATGTTAATTATTGGTACGTCACTTTGGTGTAAATGCATATAACTTGTGAAAACAATCATGCATCCTACTTTAAAAGCTTTTTCCAAGAAGCTAAACATGGTGACAATTTTAATTGATGTACATCTCTGCTTGGCTAGCTTAGTTGTTAAAGTATTAGACTCTTAATCTCAGGGTTGTGGGTTCGAGACCCATATTGGGTGCATCATGTTTTCATCACTCTCTATAATTTCCGTTAGTAATGTAACAGTTTATTATCTTCAGAGCGATTTATTTTTGTTTGTTCCACTTGTACTTGTATTTTTAATTTACTAAAATCTTTTCGATCACTGGACAAAAACATTCTTCGTCCCTGGGTGGGCTTGAACCACCAACCTTTCGGTTAACAGCCGAACGCGCTAACCGATTGCGCCACAGAGACAGCTATGTTTACAAGTGTTCGATTTTGCTTGATATTGATATGAGTGTGATGCCCTCTCCCCAGACTGAAATTTCATGAATAATTTGTGTTGTTTACAAAAAAATAAATAGTTGATTCAAAACAGCTCAGCATACAGTAGCATTGATAGCTGTGTTACATTTTGTGCAAATGTGTTCCTTTAAAGGCCATCTTCCAACCATTGAGCATAAAATATAAATAAAATACACAATAGAATGTGATAATATAGATTTTAAAACAATGTAATCTTGGAATCAAGTTTAAGGAGCCCAAAGTTGGGTGAGAGCTAGCCGTGGTTTTACCAACTGTGGCTATTTGGAGATCCTTTGGAATCTCTGAGAAATTCTTAGAATGTGTTAAAACTTTTACATGGTATCCTAAATAAAGTCACGTGAAGTGCAAAATAAAAAAAAAAATAAAGACAAACCCAGTCCTCGATAAATAATATTTAATCTAAAAAAGTATAATTGTTGCATTTGGAAACCCTTACAGTCCCAACAAAGATTTCCAATCAGTTCTGTACATTCATCGGCCTATGTTGCATGAGTGAAATAAATCTTACCAGGATTTCATCTTCCAATGTGATGCAAAACAGTGAAGTCCTTCATTTCCTCCCATCAGAATGTTGAGAATTCAAGACAACATCCTCCAGGTCAAGATATTATTTCTCTTTCGCCACTGATCCCCATTATAAAGGGAATCTAAACACACCCACACAGCAGTTAAAAGAGCCATTCTAGTGAGGAACACCATTTCATAACCCTGAATACGAACCCATGTGGCATCTTTGAACCCGTACTAAGACTCATAAATGTGCCAGTTATAAAACAATGCATCAGATTTGGATGAAACATCTAAAACATTTAAAATCTATTAAAAAGACAACCTGCTCAGTTGAAAAACTGCACACAAGCAATTATTATCCAACATCTGTGTTCCTTAAAGCACAGTCTTAAAGGAGACCAAGTAGACTACTTGAGTCTTCAGATCTAATGACTTGTGTTCACACAGAAGACATAGACACACTTTATGCGGCGTAGCAGATGCCCTTGTAGACAATTGCAGCATTTCTGTAAAGAAATCATCCTAGGGTAGTGTCTAGCCAGGAATTATCTCTGAAACTGATAACTTTTGTGAATATTCGTTCTAAGAAAGCTTTGACACTTGCCTCATTAATTGAATCGCACAAAAGTTTTGGAAGTGTCCCAGCGAACCATGCTGCAGTTTGTAAAAATGTGATCTGTAGCGAGCTCCACATTGCATTATGGGATGATGATGTGTCTACGTAGCAAGTGTGTCTGACATGAGACCAAAGTGCCTTGATCACCCCCTTGAGTACGGTTGCAGCATTATTTTTAAACTCTATGCCCACTCTCTTCATTAGTGTCATTTAAAATAATCAAGTTTGTTACCATTTCCAATAATGTTCTTGTTTTAAGTTTGTTTTAACTGAACAAAAAAAATGAGGCGGGGGAATATGATTGACACCTATAGTCTAGCGAGCGAACTGCTATCATCGATTAGTTGAAGGGGTGCATTTGGGGCTGTGTATGATTGGCATATTAAGAAAGGAGATCTGTTTCCACCCATCTCCCATGTTGATCGCTTTCTATGTATGTGCAAGGAGGAGTTTGTGGTCAGGATGAGGCCAGACCGTCTCATTTGCCAACGGTTGATGCAGCCTTGGGAAGGATCTTCCAGACACTGGGTAGACTGCATCCTCCTAAGGATTGGGGCACAGCTATTGTTTGAGTTTCCCCAACTGTTTTCTTCCAGGTGTTCCATTTTAATTTCAACCAATCAAAGTACATTTAGCTTGTTTCATATTTTAGACCACCGCAATCAAATCTCACACCTCTAGTTCTTAAAATATGGTCCGGACCAAGAGGAACAGGTGAACCACTGTTGTAATCGTCTCCAGATTTAGTCCTCATTCACACCACATGGATCACTCAGATCCCTATTAGTTAAAAATACATCCATGTGACATCATACAGCCCAATCATTGGTCAAATGCATCATAATACACGTTTCCTCGATTTCTGTTTGATTTGTTAGAATGCACATGCCTGGGATAGGGTTGGTGGTTCAGTCCCCTTTAGGTTCATTCTGCTGTTGTGGCCTTGGGCAAGCCATTTCACCCGCATTGCCCTGTATGGATGTGTGTGACTGGTGGGATATGTTTGGCGGTGGGCAGGAGGCCATAGGTGCCAAGTGGCACCACCAGTGTGGAGTGAATGAATAGTGCTCTGAAAATTGTAAAGCGTATTTAAGCGTTATATAAATTGAAGGCATTATTATTACAATTAAATTGGACAGACGTCGCTGGTTGTTTTTGGCCATTTCATTGGCATCTTTTCGTATATCATTGGTGTTAATCGCATGCTGCAAATGATGTTTGGATCTACTCGAAGGATGACTGCGTGTTGCCGTGATAAACGCTGCTTTGCAAATTGACACACGCCACCCCATTATGCCATGCGCACGCAAGTACAGTGGTTGTATTGATTCAAAAAGCATGTTTTTGTTGCCTTTGTTGGTTTTACGTTCGTATCGTGATCTCACCACTGTAGAGATTGTTTGGATTTATACCGAGACCATCTCGGACCACTATTTTAGTCTGCTTTCTCACCTGACCAAATGAACTGAACTAAAAGGGAAAATGAATTCTAGTTCAAATGAATTGAACTAAACAAGTCAGTTATGAAAGCACAATGTATCAGCTGTTGCCCCTGGATTATACCAAATTAACCGAAAGTGTGCTTGCTAAGACAGTCTTGTGCTTGAACCCTCCAAGTTATTTTATCAACCAAAATGTTCTATCTAGTCACTGTGAACAGTCTAACTAGTCACAGGGCATTAAGCATCAGCAATAAACCTGAGCATTAAACTGTCCCCTGCATACAGTCCTTTAGTGTTTATAGGAAATCTCAAGAAACAAAGACATGCATTTTCAGCTTATCAAAATATGGCATCTCTCTTGGACTCTTCTGCCTTGTCTTATTTACCAAAGATTCTTTCCTTCACACTTAATAACACAGAAGTCGAGAAATTCCTGCTCGTAGTGAGTAGGGATATGAGAAAAAACCCTAGAGCTCCAGAGAAACCTACAGTCACTCTTCTGGACTCATTCACTCTACCAAACAGTTTAACAAGACGCGCAAAAACCGTTCTGCAACATATTTTTTGCCGAAGGGACACAAAAACTGTGGGTTCTCAGCGTCTGGTTTTTAGCTGACAGGCAAGATTGGGTCAGACAGGTGCCTCTGGATATCAGGTGATGCTACCGGTGTCCTGGGACTCTCTAGACTGTCTGGGAGTGAAGGGAAGCGCAGACTGCTGCCAAGCGGGTGGGGCTCTGCTGTAGGGACACACAGCTCAGTTTCTGGAGACATGGACATGGTGTCGCTGGAGGCCACAGTCAGATGGATCCCACTGGACAAAGAGTCCGGAGACTTCTCTTTGCTGCTCCCAGAGTCAGAGCTCTGGGCACAGTGGGATAAAGATCACAAAGGTTATGTCAGTTCAATCACAAATGAAGATTTCTCTGCTTCTCTCAGTGCTCACATGACCGTGTACCTTCTCTGGTAGGGGAGTGCCAGTGATCTGCAGGGTGGGCACAATGCTGTGAGCAACTGCTGCTGTATTAGTACTGTACAGGGTGCTAGGAGGGCCAGCAGGAGATACCAGTGGTGAGACAGTACAGTAGGCTGGTGGAACAGGTGCCATTTGTCTCTGCAGCAATTGCAGAATTACGTTTATATCAGCTGTCATACGGCTCTCCAGTCTATAAACAGACAGACAGAGAGCAGGTGTAAGATATAAGCAGAGTTTAAAGGATGTTTTTATTAGTTTTGTCAGTGGATGAGGAACCTGTTGAGCTGGGCCTGCAGGAGCTCGAGGCGAGCCTGCAGTTGACCGGCTCGGTCCTCCACTGCAGAGGAGCGTCTGTCATTGTAAAACTCAGACATGCTCACTGGAGCAGCTGGAGATAGATCCAAGATACAATATGCAGAAGTTAAATTGACAGTTAAGATGGTTAAAGGTCTCCAAACATCTTCCTAAAATGTGTGCACCTGTTTGTTTGTATGCCTGAGCCACAGGGGGCTTTTTGCTAGGGCTGAGTCTTCAAGGGGGCGAGCACGGTTGACCAATAAACTGGAAGAGGCTGGGTATGGTTGACCAATAATCTCGAGGGGGATGAGCACGGTTATGTTTCAGGGGCAGCCCCCACCCCCAATTACTGCAATCCACAATCAGATACACTTGGCCTAAAATTTGGATTTTTAAATATTAAACATTTTAAGATCATGCGGAAACCCTGAATGCACTCAGGGAACAACAGGGACACTCCTGACCACATGGTGGTGCTACACAACTCTCTCTATTTGACACTACCCTATTAATATCAAGGTTTCCTAAATCTTTTGAAGCTGCCCCAAAAATAGCAGTGATGAAGACTTTGTTATCTTATGAAAAAAGATGCCGGTAGTGGATGCATCTCTTTGTTTCAAAAAGACAAGAGCAGATTCCCACCGAAAAAAAAGAGTCATTGGTCGAATACAACACATTGGCTCAAGAAAAATCAACACATCATTTATTTGGCTTGTCGGCCTGATGGGAACGCTTAAGTTGGTGCACTTCTGAGGAAATTAGCTAATGTTTGGTACGTGTACGGAGACCTTTACAATTAATACATATGAAAAGCAGTAATTTCAACCCTCTACCTTTGTACAGATGAGATCCTCCCATAGAGGAAGACAT